ATAGACGCTCTAATTGGGATTGAGGAATCGTGGAATTGAGCGTCTCAGATTTTTGATAATTAATTTGAAAGTTAGAGAATGCTCCATCGAGGTGGAATTCCTGCAATTAATTAGGTAAGGAAACCCCTGGATTTGAAAAAAAACAACAAATCATCTGCGTATGCTGCCACCTTATGTGTTCTTTCCCGACCAAGATCAATACCTGAGATATTAGTTATTCCATATTTTCCGTAGGAACGCCTCCAGGGTGAGAATAAAAATTAAAGGGCAAAGGGGCAACCCTAGCGTGTGCCAATAAATATTGGGAATGCATCAGAGAGTACCATTCACCCTAGCTCGCGCTGTAGGAGAAGTATAAATAGCCTAAATCCAGGTCATCATGATATTTCCCAAGCCCAAAGATCTAAGGGTCGATTTCATAAACGTCCAATCTGCTCAGTCGAATGTCTTTTTTGGCATCTGTGGATAGGAGCAAAAGGGGACTTGACTAAGCACGAGATGCATGAATGACATCTAAGACCCTGATGACATTATCCCTGGCTTCCCAGGTGGGCATAAACCCAACCTGATCCAGGTGGATAACACTATGCAAATGAGAAACAAGCCTAGAAGCCAAGATTTTTGTAAACAGCTTGAGATCTGTATTGAGCAGGGAGATTGGCCTATAATTTTGGCACAATAGTGGATCCTTACCGGGCTTAGCAATAATCAAGATGTGTGCCCTCAGAAAAGCTGACGCTTTTAAGAAATGGGGTGATAAAGTGTCCAAAAATGTCTTGTAATAAGGCAACGTAAGACCATCAGGACCTGGGGCCTGTATTAGTTCTAGCGAGGTCCTCACTGGTTATAGGAGCTTCCATAGAACTGACGGCCTCCTCAGAGAGCGCCAGCATGCCTGCATCAGCAAAATATTAATCCTAGATCTAAGAAATAAGGCAGTCTGAGACAGGTGGTGCTCGGCCAAATTATACAAGGCGGGGTAATAATATCTGAATACAGCAGCTATATCTTCGGTTGTTAGCCTTCTCTAAGCGATGTCAGTTCCGAAAAAACTAATTGTGCCAAGGACCATTTATGAAGAGACTCCAGGCTATGGATATCCAGCAACAAACGGTCAACCTGCGCTGAGTGAGCTTTCTTTAGCCTGGCGCCTATTTCAACTAGCATACCACAAATCTATATTTTATTCTATCTAGAAGGCAATGCCTTCTGCACCTCCCAAAGGGTAATAGGGTCACAGACTGTGGTGTTGTTACAGGCAAAGTAAGTAGACAGATTCGACTGGATCTCTGCTACAAGATGAGGATCCTGCTGTAGAGAGTCATTTAACCTCCATGTCCACGGACGATTAACAAGTCCAGGGACAACAAAACAGGGGCATGGTCTAAAATAGAAATATTTCCTATGAAAGCCTCCTGAACCTTGTGCAGAATATGTTGCTGAATGAGAAAAAGATCAATGCGAGAGTAAGAGTGATGTGAATTGGAGTAAAAGGTAAAATCATGTTCCTTGGGATGTAACATCCTCCACACAACTAGTTGCTACCTTCAAAGCCAATTTTTTAGCCTTCTGAGAGCAGCATAGGAAAGGTGTAAAGACGATTTCGAGTTATCCATGACCGGATCAGATACCATATTGAAGTCACCCTCAAGCACAAGAACACCTCGACAAAGTCAGACAAACTCTCCAGGATCGCCTGCAGGAAAGGAATCTGGTCAACATTTGGTACGTATAGACTAGCAAATGTACACACACGGCAGGCTGGTTCCGTATAGCAACAAAGCATGGGGATCAGAGCCTGTCATGCATGCCTAGACCAACCGAGCCGCCCATCCGTATCATCAGTTGCTAGGCAGAAGGCGGGTAAACAAATGTCCCAGTCTTCGATCTCTGCCGCCTGTCTGCAAGGAACAGCGGGTGGGAGAGACGAGAGAAACCACGAGGAAGATGGGAGGAGGGGAGGGAAAGGGAAGAGGTACTGGCATCCTGCATCTCTAGTTCGGGAGCAAGCAGTGTACCTTTTGGGGGCTCAAAGGAGCAGCTGCCTTGGGCCCCACAACACTGACTGGGCCCGGGGGAACTGCCCCTTTTGCCCTGCGTTAAAGAGGGCCCTGGGTGTCCTGAGTCTCCTCTGTAGAGCTCATGATCAGCTGAATAAGTGCCAAAAGACTGGCAAGCAGAGCAGGACCGGATATCGGGATAAATGTGCGTGCTTACTCCGCCATGTCTTGACCATGCCCCCTCACTCCTACTTTTCATTCAGGTTAAAGGAGAAATATGGGGTAAGTGTTTTTCCCAATAGTTCTACGGGTCATGGGACGACACAAACTAGCATCCTACCATGACCCAAAGCTCAGTAGCTCGCTGTATACTAAGACCGCCGCAGCCGGTCGCATTACTGTCGAGATCCACCCAGCTGCGTGATTGACAGCTGGCTCTGCCTATCTAGAGGCAGAGCCAGCTGTACCCGTCCCCTCCCCCGTCTGTTCCATCAGTCAGCGCTGGAGGATCGGAGGGGGGAATCCCTGCAGGGAGCCATGAGGGACAGTCATGGCTCTCTGCAGGGACATGATCGAGAAGCGAGCGACGGTATATGTTCGCTCACTTCCCGATCTATTGAGCCGACGTGTGACAGTTTCATTGTCACACGTCGGCTCGAACTATGAGGTTGAGTGAAAATCACTCGCCTCATAGTTCTCCTTTAAGCACGGAGATTGGTTCTCCCCCACTATGTTAACAGCAAATATAGTAATGATTCCAAAATCAAGACCCTCATAGATGGTCCAACTATAGGCTCATCTCATTAATTAGCATAGATATCAAACTCCTTACTAAAATTCTGGCCTCTAGGCTTAAAACTTTTCTTGCCCAGATTATCAAAAAAGACCAGGTTGGGTTTGTCCTTAAGTATCAAGTAAGTGATAGCGTCCATAAAGTACTTCATCTTCTCCATCTAGTGCAAGATCTAGATCTCAAAGTCTCCTTTTGCTGACATTTCAAAAGCGTTCATTATTTATCTTGGTCCTACTTGACTGCTGTCTTGCATCGGTTTGGCTTTGTTTCACAGTTGCTCGCATGGGTAGCAGCCTTTTATAGTACCTCTCAGGCAAAACTGCGATATTATGGGTTTGAATCTCTTCTATTTCCAACCCCTGTTGTTTGTATTGGAACTGTTGGATGAGGCCATCCACATGAATATCATTGTTAAAGTAGTACAGATTGCAGGTCTTCACCTCAAATTGTCCCTTTTTGGAGATTGTTTTGTTGTCTTTAACTTCCCCATCAACATCTCTTCCGAACTAGTTCTATCAGGTCTCTGGGTAAATCAATCTAAGTCAAAAGCGTTGTTTTTTTCTGTCCTGCTCTATGGTTTTGAACTTGCGTTCTTCGTACACTTTTTAATGGACAGAGGCGTAGCAGTATTTAGTTATCCACCTTACGCTGAATTATGATTCCCTTTATAAAGCAAACTTCCCTCCCCTGTTTCGTAAACTAAATGTTCTGTTGGACTCTTGGCGGTCTTCCCTATTTCCTGGGTAGGCCACATCAATGCAATAAAAATTACTTGCCTCTCTAAATTATTGTATGCACTCAGGGCTCTATCGGCCTTGATCGCTGGTCACATTATCCGTATACAATAACGGAATTTGCTCCAATTTATTTGGGGTAACTTGAGGCACCAAATCTCTGAACATTTTTCTCCCCAAACTTTGGGTGGCCTATCGGTGCCTAATCTTCATCACTATTACGTTATTACATTACCCCTATTGCCCGTATGCATACTTCTTCTGATCCGCCTCTTTGGACGATGTTGAATTTAATAGATTGCTGCCCATTGAGTCCTTACCATGGCTTCCCTCGTCCTATAGGCTGAACCGTTTGAACCAGCTCCTGAGTCACACTCTTCGTCTCTGGGATTCTGTTAAATTTTTCTTTCTTCTTTCCCGGTTGCGAAATTTCAGGTCCTTTTCGATGGTGGTTGGATCATGGTTTCCACAATGTTTATTCCCTTCTTTCACCCTCAAATGCCCCGACTTTCCAGTATCTTAGTGAAACTTATAACAGGGCTATTACAGGAGTACATTTGCAAATCTACTGGTGTGACCCAAGGTCAGCATATAGCAGTCTACTGCCACCTATATGTTGACAGAGCAGAGTCATGGCACAGCCGGGAAAGATCACGCAATCATGGCACGCCGCCTCCCCTGTCTATCCCTCCAGTGAGTGCTCAAGGAATAAAAAAGGTAGGGGGTGACAGTCACTGCTCTTTGCAGACTGTGAGCTGAGCGATCTCAGTGCTCTTTATAGAGCCGGGACGTGACAGCTGCAGTTTCTAATGCTGGCTCCAAGTGTTGGAAATACTTCTCCTTTAATTGAAAAAAGTTTAAACTTTTATTTATTTTAAAGAATTGATGCATACCCAAGGTCACAGGTGCATATGTAAACACCAATTGTGCACCACATATTGGGTATCCCCGGCAGAATAGTTCTAGGGCCACCATTTATGGGTAACTCTAGATTAATGAGCTGTAAAGATTTTTAATGTGCAACCTATATACAAATTTGGGTATTGCTTTTTTTTGTCATTTTATGGACATTTGAAAATCAGGAGGCTTGACACATTTGACATTCACTTTCCACTCTTTAATTTTTTACAGAATAACAATATTTTATTGTGTTTGTGTGAACTAAAAGAATTTAAGTATATTTCTAACTAAATATATAATTTTGATAAATATTTGTGCAAATATCATGCAAACAATTCTTCCTGTTTTCAGAAAAGTTATACATTTACTTTCCATTTCCCTCTGTGGTTATTTCTATGTTTCAGCTCTCGGTAGCAAATGCAGCAAATGCAGCCATGGGCATGTTATGCCTACTTTATTATGAGCTGCTGTGTATTTACCTAAATTGGGTTTATCATTTCAGGTTTGGGATGTAGTTTTTTGGATGCTACATAAATGCAGCTGTCACCTGCAATCTTCTCTCTCTCTTCTCAGATTCAACAATACAGAGTGGCCATGACAGCCAAGGATTGCTCCATAATGGTTGCCCTTTCCCCCACAATGCCGGAAGATCGGTAAGAACAGGTTACTGTTATGTGATATTTCTAGACTGGTAGTAAGAGTAACTTAAAGGAGAACTATGAGGTGAGTGATTTTCACTCCTCATAGTTCCACCTGACCTGTGGCGATGAAACTGTCACAGTTCGGCGCAGTAGATCGGGAAGTGAGCGAACACATACCGGCGCTCACTCACTTCTCGATCCAGTCACTGCAGAGAGCCGTGACAGGGGAGGGTCTGGATTCCCCCCTCCGATCCTCCAGCACTGACTGGCGGGAACGGATAGGGGAGGGGGCGGGTACAGCTGGCTCTGCCTCTAGATAGGCAGAGCCAGCTGTCACTCACGCAGCTGGGTGGATCCAGACATAATTGTCTGGATCTGTTTCAGCTGCGGCGTATAAGTATACTGAGCTTTGGGTGATGGGAGGATGCTTGTTTGTGTCCTCTCATTACCCTTAGGAGAACTATGGGGAAAAGCCCTAACCCCATAGTTCTCCTTTAAACATAAACTTAGGTAGTGTGTGATTTAGCACTCTTTCATGTTTACTTCTCAGCCTTCTTTAAAGTTTATAGGGATAGAAATGCTGAAGTTGTAAATGCATACATGTTTTTTCATAGCGCAAACCTCCGAGGTGAGGCACTGACCTAAAGCAAATATGCAAGAGTTACAATTTTCAAATTTCACTTGCTGCATGCTCTTTTTCCAGGTCAGATGTGTATATAT